GAATGACCGCAGCGTGGCCGAAGCGTCGCGCTCGGGGACGTCCGGCAGCTCGCGGACGATGACCGTCACGCCGGGGGGGAGGGGCGGCGGCCGGCAGGGGGGGGAGGGGACAGCGAGGGGACGCAGGAGGAGCACGAGGTTCAGGGACAGGGCGGCGGCCAGGGCGGCGCGCAACGGGGTCACGCGCATGGCCACAGGCGGGGTTAATTAACCGATTAATTAATTAATCAATCAGCACATTGACCCACACCGGGGTCACGCGCATGGCTGCGGGGTAATTAATCAGTTAATTAATTAATCAATCAATTAATCAATCAGCGCGGCGCGCAACAGGGTCACGCGCATGGCTGCGGGGTAATTGATTAATTAATTAATTGATTAATCAATCAGCGCGGCGCGCAACGGGGTCACGCGCATGGCTGCGGGGTTAATTAACCGATTAATTAATTAATCAATCAATTAATCAATCAGCGCGGCGCGCAACGGGGTCACGCGCATGGCTGCAGGGTAATTAATCAATTGATTAATTAATTAATTAATTAAATAATCGGCGTATTGACGCGCACCGGCGTCACGCGCATGGCTGCCGGGTAATTAACCGATTAATTAATTAATTAATTAATCCATCAGCGCAGCGCGCACCGGGGTCACGCGCATGGCTGCGGGGTAATTAATCAATTAATTAATCAATTATTTAATTAATTAATCAATCAGTGCAGCGCGCACCGGGGTCACGCGCATGGCTGCAGGGTAATTGATTAATTGATTGATTAATCAATCAGCGCAGCGCCCAACGGGGTCACACACATGGCCACAGGTTAATTGATCAATAAATTAATTAATCAATCAGAGCATTGACCCGCACGGGGGTCACCCACATGGCCGAGGGGATCCGGTGATCAGCCAGCCCGGTAATTAATTCATTAATTAGAGCATTTATCAGCCCATCGGTGTGTTAATCAGCCTATCAATTAGCCTAGTAGCATGCTAATTAGCATGTCAATTAACCTATTAATTCACCTATTGGTTTGTCTACTAGTCTATCAATTAATCTATCAACATATTAATTAGCATATTAATTCACTTATTAAATAGTCTATTAACAGATTAATAAGCATATTAATTGACCTATTAATTCACCTATTGATTTGTCTATTAATCAACTTATTGGTTTGTCTACTACCGTATTAATTATTCTATTAGCCTATTAATTAGCATATTGATCAATTTATTAATTAGTCCACTGCTTATCCTATTGGGTTGTCAACTAGTACATTAATTAACCTACTAATAACTAATTATTTGACTGATTAATTAGTCTATTAATTACTCAGTTTGTTAATCCATTGATTAACTCCTTACCGGGTCTTAATCAACAAGCTAACAACACTCAGTATGCAGTTCATTAATTAGCTCACTATTCTAACAATTAGTTAATTGTGGTATCCTGATTAATGAGTTGGTGGGTCTTGATCAATGATCTAATTAATCCGTTGATTATCAGCTCTGAAGCAATAAATTAATCACCGGGTGTCGATTAATTAATTAATTGGCAGGTGCTGATCAATCGCTCGGTTCGTCGTCAATCGTTCGTTAATTCGTCCCCCGGTATCGGTGTCACTGCGCTGTTAACGAAGGGAGCTCGTTAATGAGATGCTAATGAGTTCCTTGTCTTAATTAGGTTTGCATGCACCCCAAAAATCCTGCAAA